ACTACTACTACTACTACTACTACTAGTGCTACCACCACTACCGCCTCGACTACTGTTCGCACTATTGTCATTGGCACCAGTTCTACTACTTCCAGTCGTATTCTTTTTACATTTACTACATTTACTACTACTACTACTACTACTACTACTACTACTACTACTACAACTACCACTACTACTACTACTTTACTACTACAACTCCTACTGCTACTACTACTACTACTACTTCTGCTACTACTACTCCTACGGCTACTAGTATTATTATCACTACTACTACTATTACTACTACGACTACAACTACTACTAACTACAACTACTACTACTACTACTACTACTACTACTACTCTACTACTACTACTACTACTGCTACTACTCCTACGGACTACTACTACTACTACTACTACTACTACTACTACTACTACTACTACTACTACGCTACTACTACTACTACTACTACTATACTACTACTACTACTACTACTACTACTATACTACTACTACTACTACTACGACGACGACGACGACGACGAACGACGACGACGACGACGACTACTAGTACTACTACTACTACGACTACCACTACTACTACTACTACTACTACTACTACTTACTACTGCTACACACTACTACTACGACGACGACTACTACTACTACTACTACTACTACGACTACTACTACTACTACTACTACTACTACTACTACTAATACTACTACTACTACTACTACTACTACTACTACTACTACTACTACTACTACTACTACTACGACTACGACTACTACTACTACTACTACTACTACTACTACTACTACTACTACTACTACTACTACTACTACTACTACGGCCACCACCATCACTACTTGTACACCCCGTCCTACTCTCGGGTCCCTACTTTGGAGGCAGCGAGGGCGCCGAGGCCCACCTCCTGGTCTGCGCGTTCTGGGCGCCAAAGGCGGCCTGGCACTGGGGAGCTCCCTGTCGGATCCAGCTCCTCGGGGCGGTGGGCCTTGAGCCCACGGGGCGCATGTTGTGCAGCGGCCCTGGCCGCTCCATGGCGCGAGGCGAATGCTGGTGGGAGGCTTCGTTCGGCAGCGTGCAGTCCTCGGGCGCCGCGGCGCCAGCGGGCAGCTGTCCTGCTCCGTCGCTCCGTGCCCAGCCGCTCACCAGTCCTTCGGAGCGTCGTCTTCTCTCCGCGTGCACTGCGCGGCAGCCTGCACTCGCACGGTGAGGCCATGCGCGTGCCGCTGGGCTTGGCACCCTGCGGCTTCCATTACCATCGCATGCAGCACAGTCCATTCCCTTCGCTCCCTTCCTCTCGTCAGACGTCGGCGCCGCCAGGCGGCCAATTATGAGAAGCTCCGGGACTTCCTGCTGGACATCAATCCACATGCCTTCAGAGGGAGGAGGGATGACTGGCGAGAAGGAGGAGGAAGGAGGCGCAAGGGAGAAAGGAGTGGAAGGAGGAGGGAGCGGCAGGAGTGGGTGGGAGGAGGAAGAGGAGGACGAGGGAGGATGACGAGGGAGGAGGAGAAGGAGGATGCGAGGATGACACGGCGGGAGATCTTCGCTGTGAGCTGGCCGGAAAGGTCGCACGTCGCACGTCCAATCACCGCGGCAAGTTGATATGGGTCTGTTGATTTTCACGTGGCGGCTCAGCGCATCACTCGTTGAGCGAAGCCGGCACGGGGCCTGATATCCAGAACCCCACTGGCTTGAGCAAATCACCACTGGATGTTTTCCCACATTTCGGAGTCTGGGGGCCTTTTCCCGGCCCCTGGGCCGTTAACCCTATCCTGGATGTCAAAAATCTGCCCCGTGGAAGGGGTCGAACACCTTTGGGACCTTGTGTTGCAGAAATCATGACGCCGGAGGTCTGGGCATGAGTGGTCTCTTGCAGTGGCCTGCAGCCACAGCTGACCACCCAGAGGGCCCATCAGGGCACGACGCTTCGCGCACGAGCGTGGTCCAGCCATTGGGAGCGGCCTGGGCCAGGGCTCGGTTCAGCGGGCTTCTGGCGTGGATGTCATCATCGCCGGCCAGAGCGCAGAGCGGCCCCCATCGACCAGAAGCAGCTTGCACGTGGCCTGGTATCGCAGGGTGGCTCGCCAGCGGCCGAGGATTCGCGGCCCCCAGTGGCCAGAAGTGGCCCGCGCGGGGGCCGTTAGCAATGCTGGTCACCGAGTGCTCCGTCGAGGGGCATCACAGCCTCCAGTAGCCAGAAGCGGCCGACGCAGGGTCTGATTTTTTTCCAGCCATGGGGGAGTTAAAGGAGGAGGAGGAGGAGGAGGAGGCGGAGGAGGAGGAGGAGGGGGAGGGGGAGGGGGAGGAGGAGGAGGAGGAGGAGGAGGAGGAGGAGGAGGAGGAGGAGAGGAGGAGGGGGAGGGGGAGGAGGAGGAGGAGAGGAGGAGGAGGAGGAGGAGGAGGAGGAGGAGGAGGAGGAGGAGGAGGAGGAGGAGGAGGAGGGGGAGTTTAACATTTCCTGTGGCGTGTCCTCGTCTTCGGCCTGGCCTGCTCGCCCAGAGCGCCGAACTGGCGCGCCGCGCCCGAGCGCCACCTGGTGGGGGTCGAACGTGCCTCGCGGGATGGGGTGGGGGAGGCCTCCTCCTCCTCCTCCTCCTCCTCCTCCTCGGGGCATCCACCAAATTACACACCTAAGGCAGGTTGTAAGGCCATCGAGTGGCTGCAGCCTACGAGCAGTGGTGATGCGTCCTGGCTCGCCTACAGTCCCGCCAAGGAATGTTCCGAGAGCCCTCCGTGGTCTGCACGAGATGCTCTCAGAGAACACTCCTGGCTGCGACCGTCTTGCTTTAACGCATCGGGCTCATGTTCGAAGAACACTGCTTTTTGCTCTCCAAGCACTCTTTCTGGGGACCTCTACCTCCTGTTTGGCCTTGGCGAAACGGTGAGCCAGACCCGCGCCCCCTGCGAAGGCGTCCTTCGCCCGAGGAGGGAGGAGGGAGGAGGGAGGAGGGAGGAGGGAGGAGGGTTGGGTTCTGAGAGCACGCCGTGGCAGGCCTTTGGGCTTGCCCTGGGCGGCCGGTCCCTGCTCAAAGCCTGGCCTCGGCCTGCCGGCCCCGCGGCCTCGGCGGGCGGCGCGCCTCGCCAGTGCCGGCGGGCACGGGCCGGGCCGGGGCCTCGCCCGAAGAGTCGGGAGCCTCGAGACGGGGGTCAATGCAGACGGGGGTCAGCAAGGGCTCCCTCGAGGGCGCGAAGTTATTCGCGCTTCGCGCTTCGCGGTCCTCGTTCCTCCTCCTCCTCCTCCTCGTCCTCCTCTTCTCCCCCTTGGGGGGCGGCGCGAGAGCGCGAAGTTATTCGCGCTTCGCGCAGCGCGAAGCGCGAACTTAGGAGCCCTTGCGAAGAGTCGGGAGCCTCGAGGCGGGGGTCAATGCAGACGGGGGTCAGCCAGAGCGCCAGATCTTGCAGGCTCCTGCGAAGACCCCCTCTGGCCGACCCGGGTTGGCGAGCCGCTCGTGTCGCCCGAAGAGTCGGGAGCCTCGAGACGGGGGTCAATGCAAACGGGGGTCAGCCAGAGCGCCAGATCTTGCAGGCTCCTGCGAAGACCCCCTCTGGCCGACCCGGGTTGTCGAGCCGCTCGTGGCCGCGGGGCGGCCGCGCCTATTGGCCGACCCGTTGGTTTGCGAAGACCTGCGTTGCGGTTTCTGTTTTCCTGCATTGCAGTTTTTAGTTTCCTGCTGACCCGGGTCTGGATTGACCCGGGTCAGAGGGTCAGAAGATCGCCGAAAGAGCAGCACCCCTTGCAGGGCGTGCTGGTTCTGAGTCTGGCACAGAATAGCCTGGGGACGATTTTCCGACCGGAGATTCGCTATCTCGGGCCAGGTTTTAGCTACTCTATTCGGCCTCCAAAAGCCGCCCGCGGGAAGACATGCCCGACCTCAGTGCTGGTCTTGGAACGAGGCTCTGCTGGAAGGCAGGGTGACGGGGGCCTCCCGGCCATCCCTGCGATACGGGGGGCCGGTCTTCCAGGACCCCAGGAGGCGGCGGGCAGGGACCTCTTTGGGCCCCGTGGGGCCCTGGGACGTACCAGGCCAGCCACAACTGGTGGAGCTGTGGTCCTTACCCCCCTGGGGGGCCCATCGATTTCGACCCCCCTCTCGAGAGATTGTCGATGCGACGGGTTCCCCCAGGGGGGTAAGGACCACAGCTCCCCCAGTTGTGGCTGGTCGGCGTACCCACCGCCCCAGGGAGCCGCTGCGCCAGGACCCCTGGAAGGCGGCGAAGATCGTCGGGCCCGGGCGCCCAGGCAGCCTCCGATGTGGTTGTTTCGGTCCGCGGCCTCAGGGCTCCCGCCCGGCCCCTTCCCTGGCGGTAGTTTTAGGTCGGGCGTGCCCCTCTACAGGAGGGATATTCTGAAATAGTTCAAAAATAGTCTGGGGACGATTGTTTGACCGCTTGTGCCCATTCGTTTTTTTTTTTTTTTGTTGTTGTTTTTTTTTTGTTGAGTATTTTCATTTTTTCGCCCCAAATCCCCCTAAAGGGGGGCACGCCCGACTTAACCGTAATTTTTGAAGTCGGGCGTGTCCCTCTACAGGAGGGATATTCTAAAATAGTTCAAAAATAGTCTGGGGACGATTGTTTGACCGCTTGTGCCCATTCGGGGTGTTTTTTTTTTTTTTTTGTGTTTTTTTGTTGAGTATTTTCAATTTTTCGCCCCAAATCCCCCTAAAGGGGGGCACGCCCGACTTAACCGTAATTTTTGAAGTCGGGCGTGTCCCTCTACAGGAGGGATATTCTAAAATAGTTCAAAAATAGTCTGGGGACGATTGTTTGACCGCTTGTGCCCATTCGGGGTGTTTTTTTTTTTTTTTTGTGTTTTTTTGTTGAGTATTTTCAATTTTTCGCCCCAAATCCCCCTAAAGGGGGGCACGCCCGACTTAACCGTAATTTTTGAAGTCGGGCGTGTCCCTCTACAGGAGGAGAATTTAAAGATAGTTTAGAAGTCATCGAGGGACGATCTTTCTGCTATTTTTGACCATTTTCGACGAACATCGGCCTGCAGGGGGACATGCCCGACCTAGGGGTAGTTTTGCCCGTAGACGCGCGAACAGCAATCTGGGCATCGGCGATGTAGGCCTCGGTATTGTGGGAACGCGTGGCTCGCGTTTTTCCTGCAAGCCGCTGTGTCAGCTTCTTCCGACACGTTCCTTGGCATCGCTCGGACGTGTGCCTGTTCCCTTCGGCGAGGACCATCGAGGAGAATCCCGGATCATTTGGCGAAGAAGCCACGCACGAAACCGAGAAAAACGCAGGAGATGGACGTCCGAGCGACGGCCAGGTTCGCACATTGGAAATGCAGGAGCGTGCGGTCCGCTCTACGCTTTCTGGTTCCCGGCACCACCGTGGAGCAGCAGCGCCGCTGGCGCGGCCCTGGCCTGCGCCCCGGCAGTCCACTCCTGCTGGCCCCGGGGCCCGCTCACGGGCCCCGGAGGCCGACCTCCAGGGAAAGCCCTCCTCCCTCCTCCCTCCTCCCTCCTCCCTCCTCCCTCCTCCCCTCCTCCCTCCTCCCTCCTCCCTCCTCCTCCTCCTCCTCCTCCTCCTCCTCCTCCTCCTCCTCCTCCTCCTCCTCCTCCTCCTCCTCCTCCTCCAGAGCGATCGTGCGCCTCGAGCGCGTCAAGCTGGGCCCCGGAGCACGGGTTCGGCCACGTGCGTCTCGAGCGCGTCTCCGGCGAAGTCTGGGGTCGTTGACGCATGCACGAGCTGCGCGCGCCCATTTCTTGTTCCTTTTCCACTCCTTCCCTTTCTCGCGCTTCTACTTCAACGCTGGCCAGGCGCTCTCTGATGCACGCTGCATGGAGCTCGTGAGTCATTGTCGTTTGGTGCAGGAAAAAAAGAAGGCCACGCACTCGGGACCGTCTCCCGCGCCCTGAGGTACAGTCGGGGCCCTGAAGAAGGAACCCTCTTGGTCGGGGAGGGGCTCCGCGTTCCTGAAGCGTTTCACGGCTTGCCTCAGGGTTTCCTCATGTTTGCGATGGGGAATCGAAGTTTAACTTATGAAGAAAAGGGGCCTCGTTCCTTATTTAGGGTTCCTTAGGTCAACGCCCGGACTGTAGTGCCGCGGGGCGTCATCCAACCTCTGTCTCCTTGCTTGGTTTTCCGCCGCCTGCGTCGAGGCCGCAGACCCGTCGACCCCGTCCGCCTGAAAAGATCACGTCGTCGGGGATCGGGGCATGTCCATGTCCGCCGCCCCCCACGGGTCCCACGGGGCGTCGCTTCCCCGGGCGACGGACCTTTGCAGGCGACTTCTCGTCCCCAAACCCCCCACTCTTCTTCCACGAAGAGTCACGCCGCTCAGAAAGGGAGGGGGACTCGGGGATCCAACCCAGGGGGGGGCAATCGGACGCACCCTTATCGACGAGGGTCGTATATCCCCGAGCTGGGCCCCACATGTCTGGTCCATTCGAGAGCCCCACGAAGCCTGGGATAGGGGTCGAGATATCCCCTCTCAGACGTATCCCTCGCTGCCGGGCGGGCACCCGCGCTGGCCGGAGGACATCCCCGGGCTCACCCTGGTCGGCCGCGGCAACCGCATGCAGGCGCCGCGCCCGACCGGAGCGGCGGGCCCGCGGGGGGGTCCCCTCCGTAAGCAGACGTGTCCCTTTCGAGTATCGGCGGTGGGCGAGGGGGGGAAGTGTGAAGGAGAAGGCCTTCTCAGATAGTGGCTGGACTTCTGCGAAGCCCTCGCGCCTTCGAAACAGTTTTCAGTGTCTCCCGAGAAGGCTTCGAACACTTCTCAGAAGGCTGGGGGACTTCCGAGCCTTCTGAGAAGGCCCGCCTCTTCTCACTTCCCCCCACGGGCTCGCCGCCGACAATAGGCGATCGACTACAGAATTGATGTACCCCAAACATGTTTGTCCGTCGACTTTTCGAAAATGCGCAGGAAGTCCGCATTTCTATACACATTATACGTATCTAGACCTCCTAGGTGGGATCCGAGTAGACGGGGTCGGAGGATCGTGCCGCATCGGCGATGCATTGACGATTCGGCTCGATGTGGAGCCCGTGTTTCCCCACGCCGACATCACCGATGCACCGCCGATGCATCGACGATGCATCGTCGATGCATCGACGGTGCATCGGCGATGTATTGGCGATGCGGCGCGATCCTTCGACCCCATCAACTCGGACCCCATCTAGGATTAAGTCGGGCCTGTCCCTCTACAGGAGGTGTCTCAAAAACAGTCAAAGATAGTCTGGGGGGCATTTTTTGCGTATTTTTGGAATCTCTTTGGGCATTTTTGGGGTATCTTCAATTTTCGCCGAACATCCCCCCTGTAGGGGGACATGCCCGACCTAAGTCTAGGAGTCCGACGGCCTGCGCCTCCGACCCTGACAGACATCGACGACGACCAGGAAGGGGAGGAGGAGGAGGAGGAGGAGGAGGAGGAGGAGGAGGAGGAGGAGGAGGAGGAGGAGGAGGAGGAGCGAGGAGAGCGAGGAGAGGGAGGAGCAGGAGGAGCAGGAGGAGCAGGAGGAGCAGGAGGAGCAGGAAGGAGAAGGAGAAGGCCTCGGACGCTCGGGCCGTCACACTCGTATGACCAAAAAGGTGGGAGTGCAAAACTCATAGATGACACCCGTGTTCCAGTGTGTTTTGGTAGTATTATTGGTCTCCTTCTCGGGCCAGTTTTCAGTCGGGCGTGCCCCCCTGCAGGAGGAATGCGCAGAGATAGTCAAGCAATGGTCCAGGGGCGACGGTTTGCCCATCCTCGAGCACTCTGTGATCCTGTTTCGATCCTTCCTGTTCCTCGCCCCAGACTCCCCCCCCCCTGCAGGAGCACGTGGCCGACCCGAGGCCAGCTCCCAGGGCACCCACGACGGCCCCGGACGCCCGCACAGAAGAGCCCCAGCACGGTCCTCTGGCGCCGCCGGGGCGTCTCGGTCGCCGGGGCTCCGAGAGCCGTGCTCCCGCGGCCCCCGGGGGGCAGTGGCGCGCGGCGCGCCGGCGAGCGCCCGGACCCCCCAGAGAGGCCCGCGAGCTTGCCTAATTATGCAAAGAATACTATTTCCTGATCGAGCGTGCTGTAAGCCCTCGCCATCCCTTGCAAACATATTATTTCCGGATCGTGCGTGCTGTAAGCCCTCGCCATCCCTTGCAAACAATATTATTTCCTGACGTTCATACACCTATGAGACTTTCCTTAACAAGGAAGTGCTCTTTAGGTCCCCGAAAGTTCTTCATGGTAGGGTGGTTTGCGGGTGGGACTGGCAGCCACCGCAGGTGGGTTCCTAGGCAGGAGGTGATCAGCTGCGACAGAGCTTGTAGACCCTAAACCCTAAACCCTATGATATCTCCCCAGATTTCATGCTGCCTCTTCTCGTTTCAATGCGTCCCCGGCCCCCCCTTCCTTGGGCCGCGCACATGCCGTCGGCCATGACTTGCGCCCCCGCCTCTTGGACGCCCCCCTCTTGGCCGCCCCCGAATACTTGACGAACGAAACAGCACACACACATACACCCATACCCATAAGGGGTTTGGAGGGAGGAGCACTGGCTACGGGCATGGGTGCGGTTTGTCCGACCCCGGGGAGGCTCCCGTTCGAGCTTGGACCCCCATCGGAGAACACGCACCCATAGCTCCCTTCCGTCGGTATGGGTGTGCGTGTGTGTTGTCCGTTCGTCAGTTCGCACTTGGAAGTGGCCCCCATCGGACAACACGCACCCATAGCCCCCTCCGTCGGTATGGGTATGCGTGTGTGTGTGTGTGTGTTGTTCGTCCGCCTGTGCGCACTGGGAAGGCTCTGTCGCGCACCCGGCTGCGCAAGCCGCGCACCCGGTTGCGCCCCGATTCCGTGACAGCCAGAGTGTCCTCTCGCTCTCAGCTGAGGGCCGCACATTCGTGACATGTTCGTTGCGTGCTGCCAGTCTTGGGAGGCCTCTCGTCGTCGCGCCCTGGGGTGGACAAAACGTTCGGTCCCCACTGTATAGTCTGAGTTGCGTGCCCGGCTAATGGCCTTCGCACTCACGAGCTCTCCACCCGTGATGGTTGCCCGATTCGTGTGCACAGTGTGATGTTGGCAGTCTCGCCCCGTCTTCTCTCGGCGGCCTCTCTGCGATGATGATGTTAATGATGCCATTGATGATGGTCTTGGTGATGATGACGATGATGATGACGATGATGATGATGCTAATGATGACAATGATGATGTTGATGATGTTGATGACGATGCTGATGATGACACTTGCGGTGATGCTGATGATGCTGCTGATGATGATGATGATGGTGATGATCCTGATGTTGCTGATGCTTTTGGTGACGATGAATCGGATGACGATGATGACGACGAGGATGAGGATGATGTTGTTGCTGATGATTATGCTGCTGGTGATGGTGGTGGACGATGGCGGCAATGTTGATGCTGATGATGGTGATGCTGATGATGACGATGATGGTGATGGTGATGATGGTGATTTCGGTGGTGATGATCATGATCCTGATCATGATGATGATGGTGGTGGTGATGATGATGATGATGATGATCATGATCATGGTCATTGTCATTATCATGATGATGATGCGTATGATGATGATGATGATGGTGGTGGTTGTGGCGGTGGTTATGAAGACGACGATAATGCTGATGAGAGTGGTGATGGTGATGATGCTGATGATGGTAATGATGATGCTGCTGCTGCTGCTGCTGATGATGATGATGATGATGATGATGATGATGAGTATGATGATGAGGAGAAGGAGGAGGAGGAGGATTACGTCGGGCTGTGGACAGTCAGAACCACAGTTGTAGTGTTCTGCTTGTCCTTTCTCAATTTAGCCCATCCCTCTCCCCGCCTTCCTCCCTCGTTTGGCTCCTGCCCCTGATCCCCATTCCTCCTCTTCCTCCCAGCCTCCCCCCTTCCCCTCGCGGCCTCCTTCCCGACCCCGCCTTCTCCCCACCTCTTCCCTTCTCCCCTTCCGCCCCCCTCCGCCCCTTTCGCATATCCTCTCTCTCTCTCTCGCATCCGCTCCCCTCTCGCCACCTCCCCTCCCCCCCTACACCTCCCCCTCTCGCCACTCCCTGCCCCCCCCCGGTGTCCAGGTGAAGCTCGGAGAGACGAACAAGCTCGACGAGTTCCAGGACGGCGGCTCGGCCCCCGAAGATGGCGGGCGGGAGCGGCCGCACGATCAGAGGCCGCGCGAGGGATCGCGCGGTGGCGTGGCGCTGACCGCGGTCCGACCAGAAGACGAGGGGGGCAGGGGGGGAGGTGACGAGGGTCGGAGGAGAGGGGACGAGAAGCGCTGGTGAGGGCCAGGGGAGGGCTGTCGGCTGGGCTGGCCTGGCGCGTCGCTGCCTCCTCGCTACCGTCCAGGATCACAGTTTCTGGACGCTCTGGCTGAAGGTGCGGTCGACACCCTCGAGTTTCGCACGGGCACTGCTGGCATCGAACGCCGTGGAGGCCTTCTTCGCAGACGGCTGCTCCCGGCCACCCTCGAGGCCGCAGCAGCTGACGAGGCCGCCGAGTGCGAATACAGCAGACTCGATGCGCCGCTGGCGGACGCCGCCGCTGCGCTGCCGCTGCCGCTTCCCTGCAGCCGCCGCCGCCGCCGCCTCCGTCTGCTGCTGCTGGGTATGGCTCGCCTTTCAAGCTCAGCGCCTGTCGGCTTGTGTGTGCCGTCTGTCGCGGTGGTGGGACCCCTTGTCACGCCTCCGCCGCTGCCGTGTCCCCCTTCTTCTGCTGCTCGGTGTAACTCGCCTCGCGAGCTGAGCGAACGTGTGTTGGAGTCGACCGCCTTTCACAGTAGAGGACCCCTCGCCACGCTTCGGGAATGGCTTGCCTCGCCCTGCTGACCTCAGGGCACCATGAACGCCACGGCTTCGCCTAGGCCTAGAGGGGAGTTGCTGCACCTAGCGGGGGGGTGGGTTCACGAGTCGCACGACTCAGTCTAAGAATCATGCGCTCGGGGTCTGGATCTCTGGAGCTTGAAGTTTTCTCGCTAACCTACAGGCGGGGCTCAGACTAGAGTACCATACAAGGAGGGTTTATCTGGATCGCTTCTCCAGGGTCTGCAGGATCGAGTACGGCAGAATGGTCTGCATGTCTGAAGTCTGGGCAGTTCCTGTCGCCAGAGCCCAGGAGAACCTGCACAAGATGCAGGCGGAGGCCGAGTCGAGCGGGGGCAACACGAAGAGCGCCCCGCAGTTCTGGACCTCCTCGCCGGCGCCGCTCGCGCCGCCGCGGTGGATGGAGGGTCCTTGGGAGGAGGAGCGGCGGCTCGCCCAGGGGGTAGGGGCAGAGGGGGCGGGCCTTCTCAGAAGGCTCAGAAGGCCTCCCGCCGTCTGAGAAGCTGTCTGAGCCTTCTCCGAAGCCACGGGGGGTTTCTCAGAAGGCTGGAAGGCTTCGAGAGGCAACGCCGCCTTCTGAGAATGCCCGCCTCCTCGCACTGCCCCCCTCGGTCGGCGCGCCGCCGAGAGGAGGAGAAGGAGGAGGAGGAGGAGGAGGAGCAGGAGGAGGAGGAGCAGGAAGAGGACCAGTGTAAACCCAAGACTCGTCAGCGATGTTGGAATGAACCCTCCTTCCAAGCTCCCTCACCATAAGCCCCTACAGGATTCATTTCCACTGAGGAAAGTGCCCATCTGGGAGACAACCGTTTGAAGTTCCTGACGCGTGCCAAAACACCGTCTCTGGGACTCCACCGCCACGAATCATTGACTGCTGCGGCTTGACGATCCTGACGACCCTGAATCGTGCCAGGACCTGGAACTTCAGCACCGCGAATTAACGTAGCTGCTGCGCCCTAACAATCGCGAGTCGTTCCAACTAATAATTGCTTCTGGTACGTTGACCATGGGAATCTGTGAAGCTCCTGCAACTGTTTAAACGCATGTGCGTGGCGCTAGTGCGAGAGCCACAATGTGGAAAGGAACCGACCTCAATTCGCCAAGCTCTTGCAACCTTTCTAAGACGAGTGTGCGCGGCACAAACGAGAGCCACATTTTGAAAACCATCGCCCTCGAATCCGCGAAACTTATGCAACTTCAAGGCGGCTGTGCGCGGCGCTGAAGCGAGAACCACATTTTGGAAGCGGCCCGCCCTCAATCTGTGAACCCTTGACAATGTTTAAGCTTCAGGGTCATATGTGGCTAGGAAGTCTCAGGCGAAACGCCTGGACCGCCCGCGTGGCCCCGGGGTGCGACAGGAGGAAGTTATTCATAAGAGAATGGTATGGAGGAGGAGGAGGAGGAAGAGGAGGAGGAGGAGGAGGAGGACGACGAGAAGGTGTAAACCCAAGATTCACCAACGATATTGGAATATACCCTCGCTCCAAGCTCCCTCTTCACAGGCCACTGCAAGGGTTCATTTCCACGGAGGACAGTGCCCATTTGGGAGACAACCGTTTGAAGATCCTGAAGCGTGCCAAAACGCCATTCATCGAACGCCAACGCCACGAGTCAATTTGACTGTTGCGTCTTGACGATCTTGAATCGTGCCAAAACACCATACCTGAGCGTTTGACACCACGACTCAGCGTAGCTATTGCGCCCTGTATGTTGACCATGGGAATCCGTGAAACTCTTGCAACGTTTAACGAATGTGCGTGGCGCTACGGCGAGAACAGCATTTTGAAAACGGCCCGCCCTCAATGTGCGATGCTCTTGCAATTTGTTAGATACGAATGTGCGTGGCGCTGAGGCGCGAGCCACATTTTGAGCGCGCCCGTACTCAATTCGCGAAGCTCCTGCACATGTGTAAGACGATTGCGTGCGGCGCTAAGGCGAGTGCCATATTTTGGAAGCGGCCCGCCGTCAATGTGTGAAGCTGTTGACAGTGTTTAAGTTTCAGGGCCATAGACGGTCAGCAAATTTCAGGTGAAGCGCCCAGACCGCCCTTCCGACTGGCCTCGGGGTGCGACAGGGACGAATTATTGTTGAGGGACGGAATGGAGGAGCGGGAGGAGGAGGAGGGCCTCTGTAAACCCAAGATTTACCAACGACGTTTGAATAGACCAAGCTCCCTCTTCACTGGCCACTACAAGGGTTCATTTTCACGGAGGACAATACCCATTTGGGAGACAACCGTTTGAAGATCCTGAAGCGCGCCAAAACACCATTCATCGAACGCCATCGCCACGAATCAACTTGACAGTTGCGTCTTGACGATCCTGATTCGTGCCAGAACACCATTCCTGGGACTGCAACACCGTGAATTAACGTAGCGTTTGCGCCCTGACATGGTTGAATTGTTCCGAAAGACCGTTTCTGGTACGCTGACCATGGGAACCCGCGGAACTCTTGCAACTACTTAAACGAATGTGCTCGGCGCTAAGGCGAGAGCCACACTTTGAAGAGGAACCGTCCTCAATGCATGAAGTTCTTGTATGTGTTAATTCGAGTGTGCGCGGCGTGCAGGCGAGAGCCACATTTTGTAAACGGCCTGCCCTCAATCCGCGAAGCCCATGCACATTTGCAAGACGAGTGCGCGCGGCGCTAAGGTGAAAGCCACATCCTGAAGACCATCCGCCCTCAATCATTTAAACTTTGGCATGCTGGAGACGAATGTGCGCGGCGCTACGGTGACAGCCGCATTTTGCAAGCGGCCCGACCTCCATCTGTGAAACTGTTGTCAATTTCTAAGATTCAGGATCATAGCGGGTACGGAAGTCCCCGGCGAAACGCCCAGACCGCCCTTCCGACTGGCCCCGGGATGCGACTCGAAAATTGTGAAATAGTTTTCACGTTGTACAAAAACGTCTGATTGTCAAAATGGGTGAGCTTGACATGGTGGCCCTTACGTTTTCCGAAGATCCGTCCTGATCCTCACGCCTAGACTTAAGTCGGACCTGTCCCTCTGCAGGATGAAATTTCGAGAATCGTCGCAAAATCGTGGGGACAATTATCCGAGCATTCTTTGATCATGCTTTACATCGTTTCTGGGTATTTTAGATTTTTCGTCGACAATTCGCGTGTAGGGGGACATGCCCGACCTAAGCCTAGAGACAGACACCGAGGTGCCCGTCCCAAGAAAGTGTGCGAAAAGGTTTAGGGGCTGGCTGGTGGTGCCAGGGTCTTGGGCAGTCTGGGAGTCGTCCTTCTGTGCTGCACGGTCACGTTCGTGACAGGTCTAAGTCTGATATATGAAGCTCACGCGGGCCGGCTTCGGCGTTCGCTCGAAAAGGTGGTTCGTTTCGACGAAGACCCAGCGCTGCGGTACAGACAGGAAGAGCTGTGGAGCGGGTACTATCCGCGCGGGCGGCGGTGCTCAAGGCAAAGTCTGCTGATGTCGGTGCTGGATCTGTCATTGCCATTCTGATCTGGGCAGTCCCATGTACTGTGCTACCTTCAGGCTGGGAAGACTGCTCTACCTCACGCGGCACACTTAACTGTTGGCTGGCCACCTACCACTCGGGACTGGCTCTATTGTTGGAGATGTCGTCGACCTGGCAACAACCTGGATGGGAGACCGACTACGGTATTAACCTGCTCGGGACCGATGTTGGTCAACGTTTGGCGCGCGCGCGCATCTGGTGGTCGCCCCGTTCGTGGCCTCCGCGCGAGCGGTGCTCTGCATGATGTTTCCAGGACTGGTCTACCCCCGTCTGTTGACTGGAGGCAGCCGTGCGCCTCTGCATCTCTCCTTCACTCCGTCGCGGTCCACCGTGGCCATGCGCCCCTCTACAAGCGGAGTGTTCAAACATAGTTTTAAGAAATAGTCTGGGGACGATGTCTGAATGTTTTTTGACCATCGTTTAATCTGTTTTTGCCTATGTTCTTATTTGTCGGCCAAGATCCCCCTGTAGGACGACATGCCCAACCTAATCCTGGGCTCTCCTTGCCAGGCGCGTCAAATCAGAGAGCGGCCTGTCGGCGGGTGCACCACGGACATGCTGCGTCCACCGACGGCCCTACATAGACCCGCGGAGGCTCCGAGGGGCACCCTTGCTGTGGCCCCTCTTCGGAGAGGTCGACGGCGGGTGTGCCCCGAGATGTCCCATAGAACATAATCTCTCATCGCAGGTGTCTGTCTTGCACGAGGGAGACGCCACCATTTCTGGATCCAGAGGAAGGGAGGGAGGGACGGAGGGAGGGAGGGAGGGGAGGGGAGGGGAGGGGGGGAGGGAGGGGGGATAGCGAGGGAGGGAGGGGAGGGATAGGGAGGGAGGGGGAGGGAGGAAGGGAGGGAGGGAGGGAGGGAGGGGGGAGGGAGGGAGGAGGAGGAGGAGGAGGAGGAGGAGGAGGAGGAGGAAGGGAGGACCTCTCCCCTTCTCGCCGCGCTGCCCCCCCACCACACCCCGCCCCGCGCGTGCCCCCCCAAGCTTCCCTTCTCGGCCGAGGATGCCGAGCCCGCTGCCCGAGAGGGTCCTCATGCAGATCCACGAGCTCTTCCTGCGCTCCGAGGCGGCCCCCGGCTTCCCACGGCGGGGCCGCTTGGTCGTCGGAGGCGAGCGACGGGGGGGGAAGTGAGAAGGAGGAGGCCTTCTCGGAAGGCGGCGGGACTCCCCACAAGCCCCCGCGCCTTCGGAGCAGCTGCTCTGCGTCTCCGTGCAGGGCGTAGGAGCTTCTCGGAGGGCCGCGGAGCTTCCGAGAAGGCCTCCTCCTTCTCAAACTTCCCCCCCCTCGCTCGCCGCCGAGGCCCGGGAGGGTGTGACGGCCCAGGCGTTTTCGCAGGCCCGAGGGGGCTCTCGTACAGTCGGGGCCCCGAAGAAGGAACCCTTTTGGTTGGGGAGGGGCTCCGCTTTCCTTGAGTGTTGCACAGCTTGCCTCAGGTTTTCCTGATATCTCCGATAGGAGATCGAAGTTTAACTTATGGAAAGAAAGGGGCCTCGCTCCTTATTTCGGGTTCCTTAGGCCAACGCCCCGACCGTAGGCTCACAGATTTTTGCCCGGCCTCCCCGAGGCCGTCGAGCAGCCGCGCCCCGCCGAGGGCGCGCTCTCCTGGGAGGGCCCAGGCCGTGCAGCGGACTGCCGCCAGGGGCCCGAGCCGTGGCCCAGAGGCCGTTGGTTTGCAGGAAGCTGCGACGGCTGGAGGTCGGAAGCTGGAGCATATAATCAAGGGCGCCCTCGAGGGCGCGAAGTTCTTCGCGCTTCGCGCTTCGCGGTTCGGCTCCGATTCCTCCTCGTCCTCCTCTTCTCCCCTGGGAGGCGGCGCGAGAGGGCGAAGTTATTCGCACTTCGCGCTTCGCGCAGCGCGAAGCGCGAAGTTGGGAGCCCTTAATAATGGAGGATGTCGATAAATAAATGACCGGGGGTCGTGTTCACGCGGCGGCGCCCGGGATGACGGTTAGAAAAACCGGCCGCGGGCTGGACAACTATTTTGTTTAATCTCTCTCCTCCAGTCAGAAAACTGTGCAGAAATTGCAGAAAACTATGTTTTAAATCGTTCTCGCCCGTTTTTTATCAATCGTCATCCCGCATTACACTACCAGTGGCGGGTTTTGCTTCTGTCCCAGGACTTCTGGAGGGTCGAGGACGACGCTGGGGTGGCGTGGTGTATGCGTTTTTCCCCGAGGCCCCAGGGAAGTAGCGAAACATGTATACACCAGGGTCCCGTATACACCGGGATCCGCTCTCCAGTGCAAATTCCAATGCAGGGCCAGAACAAGCGTCGGTGTATAGAGTTCGATTCCCTAGGAGGGTGCGTGGGGGTTGGAGGCGGTGTGCGAGTAGTGGCCAGGCTGAAGTCGGGCATGACCCTCTACAGGAGAAATATTCACAAATGGTCCAGAAGTAGTCTGGGGACGATTTTCCGATTATTCTTAGACTCTGTTTGTATATGTTTTGGCTATTTCTGATGTTTTGTTCAACATCCCCCTGTAAGAGGGACATGCCCGACGTAAGGCCAGGCGGAGGAAGGTCGGCACGGCTTGAAACTGGGGGGCCGGTGCGCACTGCCACATGGCGAAGGGAAGGCGCTCGCGCTTGCGGCCTCCTCGCTCGTGGGCGGGAGCATGACCTAAGTCGGGCCTGTCCCTCTGCAGGGAGGAATATCTAAAAATTGCCAAAGCATAATCAGAAGACTATTTTTGAATATTTCTATGTATATATATATATATATGCCAACTTTTGCGTTCTGTTTGTTCTTCCTCCCAAGTCCACCTGTTGGAGGACATGCCCGACCTGAAACATGGCCGTGGAGCCATGTTCACAGCCGCCAGCGCGCAGAGTCGAGTAGAGCCAACAAGTTGAAACAAGAGACGGTTTGGGTTCGGAAGGGGCTAGATGTTCCTCGGGTTCTTCCATGGCCGTTACAGCCAAGACGCTGGAACAAGGAGCAGCTTGGGTTCGGAAGGGGCTCGATTATCCTCAGTTTCTTCCATGGCCGTTTCAGCCAAAGACGCTGGAACAAGGAACAGCTCGGGTTCGGAAGGGGCTTGATGTTCCTCAGTTTCTTCCATGGCCGTTGCAGCCAAGACACTGAAACACGGAACAGTTTGGGTTCGGAAGGGGCTCGATGTTCCTCAGGATCTTCCATGGCCGTTCCTCAAGCGCTCCTCGTGCACCCAGGCACATCTGGTGCCAAAAAAAGGGGCCTCGCTCCGTGTTTGTCGTTCCTTACCTCAGCAGCCCGACTGTAGAGTGGTAGAGTGGACGTTCTTCGGGGCAGGCCCGCGAGCGTGAAACGTCCGACGGTCGGACCGAGGTAAAGCATCGAGGTCGGTTCGGGGAGGGTGCCCTAATGTTCTTCGTGCTTGTTGGGTGCTCTTGTACATCCTGGGGGGGAGGGTGCCCTCGCATGTTCTCCAGCTCGGGCGGCGGATGGCCTCATGTTCTTTAAGGATGCTCGTCTGTGCCAGGTCCGACCGTACCACGTACACCTTGTTCATTCCTAATCATTCGAAGGTTCTTTGATTTCTTGTGGGGGCCAAGATCCTCTCATTTCTGATCCTTCTACGCTGGGCCTCTTCCTGGCCACCGGGGGGGCAGGAACAACTGGACACGAGCACACTTAGAAATGAGCACGATTAGAAGTGAACGACGTGTGTGTGTGTGTTACTCGGTTTCGGGCGCGGAGAAATGAGCACGATCAGAAGTGAACGACGTGTGTGTGTGTGTGTGTGTGTGTGTGTGTGTGTGTGTGTGTGTTACTCGGTTTCGGGCGCGGGCCCGCACGCCGCCGATGTATCCGCATGGGGCGTTCCAAAAGCGGCCTCTCTGGCGCCGAGGGTGGCTAGGAGTCGTCGCCTCTCCCGCCGCGGCCAGCCGCCGCGGGAGGCCGCCTCTCCGCGCCGCCGGCGGAGGCGCCTGCGGAAGCCCGCGGCGGAGGGCGGCGGAAGCGGCAGAGGACGCGCCCCCCCCCACGAGGCGAAAACACGTTACGGGGCTCCTCGCGTCGCCTCCTCGCCTCTCCTCCTCGCCCCCCCTCCTCCTCCTCCTCCTCCCCCTCCTCCTCGCCCCTCCTCCTCCTCCTCCTCCTCCTCCCCTCCTCCTCCTCCTCCTCCTCCTCCTCCTCCTCCTCCTCCTCCTCCTCCTCCTCCTCCTCCTCCTCGCCCCCCCTCCTCCTCGCCCCTCCCCCTCCTCCTCCTCGCCCCCCCTTCTCCTCGCCCCTCCTCCTCCTCCTCCTCCGACGTACGCGAGCCCTGCGCACCAGGGAGAGCTTCGAGCACCGAGGAGGCGCCGAGGCCAGGGGGCGTGCGCGCGATCCGGGCCCTGGGCGGCGCTCGCAACACGGTTTCGACACGTTTCGGGGTGCTCGAAATCATTTGTGGGATGTGGTTGGGGGGTCACATGCGAACCCTACCCTACCCCCCGCGCTTTCTGAGGGGTCACTTCGCTCCACCCTCCCCCTCAGAACGCGTGGGGGGTAGGGGTAGGGTTACAATGGGGCCCCCTTGTGGTCCTCAACAGAGCATTTTCTTCGGGTGGAGGGCAGAGGGTGAAATCTGAAGGGCCGTTTCGATGGACCTTCGAGGCTCGAATCTGCCAGAGGTGAGCCAGGGAGCCACAAGACGGACCGATTCTCGAGGTGCGAACGCCCCTGTGGATCTCGCCCTGAGCCCTCCACCCGGAGAAACTGCCCAGCTGAAGTACGACGGGAGCAACACAGGCCAGGGCGAGGGCCACGGGTCGCGGCCGTCCGGCTCCTCTACGAGGCCCGGCCGGACGCCGTGCACGGGGCAGTCCTCGGCCTCGCGAGCAGCCAGGACGAGATGGGCGGTCTCGCTATTCTGGGCAGGGCGAGCGCAACACGCCCCTGGGCTGTCCCACCCACCGGAGTCCGAGCCACACTTCCCTTGCCCGCGGTATTGGCTGTTGTCGACTGTATCTTGGCAGAGCGAGTGAACCACATCGTTGACGGATGCGCGTCCCGAATCCTGCCGGCGGTGTCGATATGGCCATATTGGAGTGCGCCAAGAGCAAGCGCCAGAGTTTAGATGCCGTGCACCCGCTGGCGCTTGTCATCGAGAAAGGCATGGACAGTGAGTCCCAGGGCTGCGACTGCCAGCAGGACGGGCGGAAGTGTTACGATGCCCTGCGAGCGATACGTGTTGCCAGGTGGCTCAGGGACGACACCGGCTCGTCTGACGAGGCCGCCACCCTGGATCAGGAGGGACAAAAACCACAGACACAATGGATCGTCGACTCCCAGGAAAATATGGGAAAATATAGGAAGTGGGGGGAAGAAGAAAATCAAAAGAACAATGCGGAAAGATGGGGGATCCTGGGATTTGTGTGCATCTATTCGTGTGTCCTTTTGGGCCCCTTTCTAGTGAAGCTGCATGCGTGCCCGCTCGTCGTGCTCGAGGTGGGGGTCTGCCCTCGCAGCGCTGGGCGCCCGCAGCGTCGGCATGCACACGGGCTCCCCCGGAGCGCTGGCGCAGCTGGGCGCATCCCGCTGTTGGGCGTGTCTAGGCCTCCTAGATGGGGTCGTAGTAGATGGGGTCGGAGGATCGCGCCGCATCGCCGATGCATCGGCGATGCGGCTCGATGTGGAGCCCGGTTTGCTTCACGTCGACGTCGCCGAGTCATCGCCGACGTCGACGATGCATCGCCAGTGCATCGCCGATGCATCGCTGATACATCGCCGATGCATCGCCAATGTATCGGCGATGCGGCGCGATCCTCCGACCCCATCTACTCCGACCCCATCTAGGAGGCCTCCAGCGTGGCGCCGCAGCGGATGCACTGCTGGCAGACGCTCGGCTTCGAAGGCACAGGCCTGGCTTCTTCCGTGGGCAACCTCCCCGCGGCGTCCACGGGCCCAGCAGCCATCCGCAGTCGGGACGCTTGCGCGGAGCAGCTCGGCAAGCGATAGGACTTGCAGATCGAGGACGACTCCCAGGAATATCCTTTGTGCAAGGGCGGCCGCGACAACGTGGTCTCGCAGCACAGTTGGGAGGATGGGGAGGAGGAGGAGGAGGAGGAGGAGGAGGAGGAGGAGGAGGAGGACGAGGAGGAGACAGAGGAGGAGGAGGAGGAGGAGGAGGAGGAGGAGGAGGAGGAGGACGAGGAGGACGAGGAGGACGAGGAGGAGGACAAGGACTAGAAGGGCGATCGTGGTAAAGAGTGTGGGGAGGGCGTGGAGGATAGGGAGGATGTGTGTGAAGGGGACGGGTAAAGATGGGGAAGGAAGGTGAAGAGGATACTGAGGGGAGAGAGGTTGAGGAGAGGAGAGTGGAGGAGGTTGACTATGATGATAATGGTAAGGAGGGAACGTAAGTTCGGAGCATAATGATGGCAGGGATGACGATGAGGAGACTACGGAGAGAGGATAATGGGGGAGACGAGGGGAAGAAGGGTGATGTAGGATGAGGATGGAGATGATGAGGAGGATCAGGAAGAGGACGACGAGCAGGGAGTTGAGAATGGGTAGAGGAAGGAATCGGTGGAGGAGGAGGAGGAGAAGAAGAAGGAGGGGTGATGTTGCGGATGATGATGCAGCTGCTTCTGATGACCAGGGGGCAACATGTGATGGGATGGTAGGGGATGGGGAAAAGAGGGAAAGCATGCGGCAGTTGGGTGGGCGGTGGACGGGAAGGTTCAGGAACAGAGGTAGTGGGACAGGGGACAAGAGTTGAGAAAGGTTTGTTTTTTAGAGGGGACGAAATGGGAGGAGGGATGAGAGTACAGGGTATGGAGGTCAGGGGGACGGGACAGCGGAGGGTATGAGGGAGGGCATGTGGGATAGGGCATGGATGGAAAGGGCCCCCTTCCCAAGACGCATCCCCTTCCCCTCACCCTCCCCAATCCCCCCCTTCTCTTGCGGAGCTCCTCTCCCTCCGCCCTCCCCCCTCCCCCTCCCCCATTCCTCTTCATACCCCCTGGATCTCCCTTGCCCCCATCTCCTCCCGCAGCCCTCCCCGTCCCCTCCCCCCCTCGGCGCGAGGGCCCCCCGATGGACGCCCGCCTTCCCCCCCCACGCGGGCGGGGCCCCCCTCGGCGGCGGGGCTTCTCGGAGGCCCTCGCCTCTGAGGAGCCGCCCCGTGCCTCCAGAGAAGGCTCGGGGGAGCTCCTCCCGGAAGCCCGAGAGGCCTCCTGGGCTCGCTCGGAGGGCCCCTGCCCCTCTGCCCCTTCCCCCCCCCCCCCCCGGGGGCCTCGCCGCAGGAACGCGACGGTGCGGTCGGCTCGCGCCGGCGTCGGCCCTCCGCGACTCCGGCGCTCGGGCGTCGGAGGCTCATTTCCTGGCTGCGCGCAGGAGTGGGCGCTCTCGCCCGAGGGGGCCTCCAGGCGGCGGAGCGCAGCAGGGGCCCCCGAGACGGCGGAGCGCGGGGGCGGCAGCATCGACCTGCGCGCCCGGGTTCGGCCTCCCCCGCGGCCCCCTCTTTGCCGCCCCCGATGCAGCTGCGCATCCGAGGCCTCTCCTGCCTTGGGTCACTCTTGCGTGCAGCCGAAGGCTGCACGCCGCCCGCGGCCCAGAGTCGGCCCATCGTTGGACGATCCGGCGTTGTTGCTGGAACTTCTGGTGTGCTCAAGTCCGAAGGATTCCCGCGGTGTCAGGAACCAGCGCTGGGGTCGGCACGACACGAAGCTGCCGCTGCCGGACGAGGCTAAAACAAGGATCAATCCGTTCCAGAGGGCCGCGGCGCCCGAGACGTCCTCCAGAGCCGCCGGATCTCAGAGATTCGCGATTTATCCTTCCTCACCCGCTTTTATCCTCGTCGTGGCTTCGCCTTACGCATCGCGGCCGCGAGGGCCACGAGATCCCCCTCCGAAACTTCATTGCGACCTGGAACGCGCACTTCGCCAACGAGACGCTGGCCTACCGCACCCTGGGCTTCCGGGACGTACGGGGGCTCCTCTCGCAGGCCTCCCCGGCGCGCGGCGTCGGCGTCACCGCGCCGATGCGGGCTCTGCTTGTGTGCGCTCCTCTCGCAGGCGACTTCTCGGTACGGTGGGGGCGTTGGTTAACCAGTGTGCCCAGGGAGCTTCAGACTCAGGAGGGTTCCGTAACTGATGAGCGCGGCGGTGGTGTCCGTGGCCGATCCACGATTGGTGTTCCACGGGCTTCCAGACCCCGGATTCCTTAGCGGCGGCCAGGATCGAGGTTGCTCTCCTCGGCTGCCTCCGTGCAGGCCAGCCGTAGGCGGCGTAGGCGCGCCTTGCGATGGTGCCGTCGTAATCCGCGCCTCGGCTCTGGGTTGTTGTTTTCCCGCGGGGTTCTAGTCAAGGCCGCGTGGCCTCTGGGAATTCTTCGGGCGCTGTGCTGGCGCTGTTTGGTCAGCGTCGTTTGAATGTATGCATGCACGGGCCTCTCGGGGCCCTTGAAGAGAGAAACACAATGCCCCCACCGAAGCCAATCATGGGATCCTTGTATCTCCTCGCAACCCCGCTTTAGACTGCAGTAGCGTCGCGTACTGTGGGGGCGTTGGCGAAGGAATGTGCCCAGGAGGCCTCAGAGGCTTCAGACCCTGGAGGGTTCCTCGACTGATGAGGGCGGCGGTGCTATCCATGGCCAGTGCGCGATTGGTGTCCCACCGGCTTCCAGACCCTGGATCCCTTTTCTAAGGGTTCCTTGTCCAATGCCCTCACCGTGAGCATTGTGTGTCCTCGTAACTCCGTCTTTAGAGTGCAGTAGCGTCGATGGTCGTTTGGTAGTCGATGGGGAGTCGCCGATTGAGCGTCGATTGGCGTCTGCCAGCGCCTACGAGCGTCGGTTATCGTCGGTTGAGCGTCGACTCGCGTCAACTAGCGTCGATTCGCCGAAGCCAGCAATACGGTATATGGGGCTCCCGTACCGCAGAACGATTTCTCGCCCCCAATCCCCGACTCAGGTTCCATTTCGGTACGAAAGCGATCCGGTTTGACATCGATTCTGGCGAGCCCTCAGGCCGCCGGAGACCAGGACACAGATAAACCAGGACACGGAAAACCAAGGAAACGACACCCGTTCCTGCAAAGGCGCAATTTTTCAGCACCGGTGCATTTGTTGCTTGCGGCACTGCAGAGGATTCAGGTCTGAGTCCGGGTTCGGGGGGGTCCTGCAGGCTTGTAGGGCCTGTGTCCGGGTCTACTCTGGAGATGCTGCAGCGCACTGCTTTCGATTGTCCGTGCCGCCGTCTGGGAGCATTGGTTTCGAGGGGTGCTGGGTGTCGGGGCCCAGCGTGTCTGGGCCTAAGGGGCCCTGAGGCCCGCCCCGATTCGATCCCGACCGCCTGGCGATCTGGTGCGGCCCGAGGCTCGTGCGGGGCGCAGCGCTGCGCCTCCGGGCGCGGCCGGGGCGCTTCGCTCTCGGTGTATTCCGTGCCGATATGGGCGCAGCCCGATCCCATGCACGGTGGCGTGCCGGTCCGGTGTCCCGACGCGGTGCTGGCCGATCCTGCCGAGTGTTCTCGGGGGCGGCCGGGAGGTGATGGGCCTGTTTTCCACCACCGGCACCAATAGTTGGAGGGGGAGGGGGTCCTCCTCCTCCTCCTCCTCCTCCTCCTCCTCCTCCTCCTCCTCCTCCCTCCCTTCTCCTCCTCCCTCCCTCCTCCTCTTCGTCCTCCTCCTCCTCCTCCTCGTCCTCCTCCTCCTTCTTACCTTCAACTTCTGGTGGTGGTGGTGGTGGAAACAGGCCCATCAGGAGGGGGCTGATGACTAGGGGGGGGGGGATATCATGGCGGGGCCATGACATCTCCCCAGATTTCATGGCGCCACTTCTTATTTCAATACGTGCCCTTGCCTCCCCCGGGCCGCGCACATGCCGCCGGGCCATGAGTTGCACACCCCCCTCTTGGATGCCCCCCTCTTGACCGCTCCCGACTTTCCCCGAAAAGCCCGGCTGCTCAGAAAAGGGGTGAAACTCGGGGATTGCCCCCCCCCCCCCCCAGGCGCTCGGGACGCACCTCTCTCGAGGGCGGGCGCCCCCCGCGGTGTGTCCTCGAGGTTGGCACCGAGTTCCCGGTCCATCCGAGAATCCCACAACGTCGGAGATCGGGATTGCCATATGGGGCGTTCCCAAAAGGGCCTTGCCTTCGAGGATCGAAGGAGTTGTCATCTCTTCCGCGGCGGAAGGTCGGCGGAATTAAAACGGAGCCGCCTCCGCTGGTGGAAGCCAGCGGAAGCTCGGCGGAAGGCGGCGGAAGTGAAAAATGCGCCGCCAAGAGATGAACATATTTTTGGGTTCAGGTTTTCCGAAATGCGCCATATACCCCCTGTGAACCTTCTCCTGTAGTTTGCAGCTGTGCAGCAGCAGCATCAGCAGTTCGAGGCAGCAGCGGTTGTCTGCTGATCTTGGGGCTCTGGAAGTATTGCACAGTGATCTTAATATCTAGTTCATTGAAGTCTTGTTGGTACGTGTATACAGCTGTTCAATTATACCGCAAACAGTACATGTTAGATTTGTAATCCCATTACTTCTTCGAAGAACAACATATGTGCATATATGGGCGTGATTAAAGTTTTGTCCTTTTTTGGCCTTGCCGAAAGTAATGGCTACGATGCATCCAAGCGCGGCGGTGAGCTTCAAGCGTATTTTCAAGGAAGTCTCAAGCGAAACGCTCGTTTTCCAACCGTGTGGAAATGGATTCTGTTGTTTCGAACCGACGTGGAACCGTCAGAACAACCATTTTTGTGAGGATGTCCCACGCGGTTTGCCGTTTTCGAACCGCCATCCCATTGTTTCGAACCGACTGGAACCGTCAGGGGTGGCAACAGGTCCCCCAGGACTGCTTATTTGGCTTGCTACCGTTCGGGCATGCAAGGGGCCACGCAGCGCAGAATGACGTTCACGAAGCTTTGGCTTCGGATGCCTGGGAAACGCGAACCGGGATGGCCGATCGACCAGCAGAGCGAGGGGTTGTGGTGACCTCCCAGAATACAGCCATGTGGACATCGTCAGAGGTTACCGAAGATTTTATTGTTCAGTTGATGCAATATGCTTTTCCAACTCCCAGCCGCTGCGTGGATTCAATGCTAGTGACTTGATCTACGACTTTCCCGAGAAGCGTGTTGGAAGCACTGACTCCGCGGCATATGTAGATATGTATGCCTGTGTGTATGTCTGCATGTATGGTTGCATGCATGTATGTATGCATGTATGCATGTATGTTTGTCTGTACGTATGTATGTATGCGTGTATATATTCATGTACGTATGCATGCATGTAGATGTACATTCATTTGTGTATGTATGTATGCATGTTTGCATGCATGTACGTGCGCATGTGTTTGCATGGTAGTATGGCTGTATGCTTGTATGTTTGTGTGTATACTTGCATGCTTGCATGTGCGTCGACATGTGTAATTATGTGTGAATGTACGCATGCATGTATATGTATATGTATATGTAAGTGTGCATGTAGCTGTATATGTACATGTGTATGTATGTATGTATGCATGTGTGTATGTATATACGTGTGTGTATGTAGGTGTATAACTATGTATGTATTTATGTATGTATGTATGTATGCATGTATGTATGCATGTGTGTATGTATGTATGTATGTATGTATGTATGTATGTATGTATGTATGTATGTACGTGTATGTATGTATGTATGTATGTATGTGTGCATGCATGTATGTATGTATGTATGTATGTATGTATGTATGTATGTATGTATGTGTGTGTATGTATGTATGTATGTATGTATGTATGTATGTATGTATGTATGTATGCACGTGTGTATGCCTGTATGGATGCATGCACCTGCCCTGGGGACGGCTACCGCTGCTATCCATGATGCTTTCGCACTGATTGGGGTCGTGCGGTTCCCCCGTCTTTTCCCTCTCCTCCTCCTCCTCCTCCCTTCCCCTCCTCCCCCTTCTACCCTTTCAGGCGCCATCGATTGGCGCAAGATTGCCATACCCATTTCGAGATTTTTGTGGCATGGACGCGGAATTCTGCAGTCCAACCCCATGTGCGAGTGCACCTCAGGTTGCGCTGCCCGCGCAGTGCCAGTAGGTGTGTTTCTCAACTTTCTGGGTAGACCGCCGCCTCCTGGTCCTGGGTGAGGTTCCCTAAACGGCTGCTGTCTGTCTCTCTGCCTTGCCCCCCGGCCTTCCCAGCCGTTCCGTCCTCTCTGCTACGCCTGCCTGTCCTCTCGCTGTTTGGGTCTCTGCGTCGTCTCTCGAACGGGCGGGCCTGGCCACCACTTTGCACTGCTCAGGATCCGGTCCCGATCGCCATCTCTAGGCCCACATGGTGGAGTCCTTTACCCATCAGTTGGGACGCTTGCAATTTTCATCATCACGTGCTTGCGCTGGATATACATGTATATGTAGATTGTTCGTGCGCCTGTTTTTTATTTATTATTTTTTATGGATGCATGTCTAAGTATGTGTGTATGCATATATGAATGTGTGTATGTACACATGTGTCTGCACACATGTATGTATAATTGCGTGTCTGTATGTCGGTCTGTCTGTCTGTCTGTCTGTCTGTCTGTCTGTAAGTATGTATGTTTCTATGTCATCATGCATGTATGCATACGTGCATGTACGTACAACTGTATGTATGCGCGTATGTGCGTACGCATGTATGCCTGTAGGTATGTATGTATGTATGTATTTGCGTATATGCATGTGCAGATGCATAAATGTATGGATGCACGCGTGCATGCATGCATGCATGCAGGTATAACAACAGACATGCTGGTATGGATGCAATCATGTAGGTGTGTATGTATGGATGTGTGCGTGTGTGAACATGTATGTCTGTATGTCTGTATGTATGTGTGTATGTATGTATGTGTGTATGTATGTATGTATGTATGTATGTATGTATGTATGAACATGTGACTGTCTGTGTGTATGTATTATAGGTACATGTATATGTATGTACATATGTATGTATGTATGTATGTATGTATGTATGTATGTATGTATGCATGCATGCATGTATGTATGTATGTATATATGCATGTATGTATGTATGTGTATGTATGTGTGTAGTTGCATGTGTATATGTAGTTGCAGTTGTATGTGCAGTTGTAATTGAATTTGCACATATATATATAGATATAAATATATGCATATGCATGGTCATATACGTATCCAGCTGTCTACGGCAAATCCCGCCACCGTGCCTGGGTTTTGTGGGTTATAGGCTTCCTGGATGTTCGTTGGGATATCTTGGGGGGCCTTTCGGGGGCCTGTTGGAGGCATTGTTGAAGCCTCTTGGGCGCCGTCGGAGGGCATCT